GATGGATCAGTTTCCTCAGGAAAGTAAGAGGTGAGGAAATTCAAAGACAGAAGGAATGCCCTCTTCCCTGATTGATTCACTGGGGCTTTCATTCAGAGGATTCTAGATTTTAGAGCTAGGAGAGGCATGGGAGATCATCTTGATGTAAGGAAAAACAGTTAAAACAGGAGATAGCAATAAAACATTTTGAAACAATTAGAGCTATGCAGAAGTTGGATGGGCTGTGTCAAGGCCAGTGGGCTCCCAGTCACTGGATGGAAGTCTTTAGGAACACAAAGGCTGGATGACTATGTCTTACCTCCATGGGGCTCATCTCTCTTTTACTGTCTATACCCTTCATTGGGCACTTACTATCATGGGATATGGGAGAAAAAAGCATGAGGTCTTGGGTCAGAAGAACTGGCTTTGAATCTCATCTCTGCCACTTTAGTAAGGTTCATGGGCTTGCTTGATCACCAAGGGCTTACTCTGGGGCCTGACCTGCCTCCCACTCCCTTCCTGGGGTTTCTCACCTCTCTCTTCCTTATTCAACATGTATTTATTTGTGAAGGGATCCTGACCCAAGGGCCCTGGCTTTTGCCCATATACAAAGTCCTTGTTGAACTGAGGAGAATCCAAAGGGGGTCAGAAACTAAATGCTCCCTGCAGCTGGTAGGGGTAGGGGTGTTCTTACCTGGACCGTCCTATACTTATTAGCCCTAGAGGGCAGCTAGGTGGCACGGTGGATAAAGTTACAGGCCTGGAGTCAGGAAGACTCATCTTCATGAGTTCAAATCTGGCCTCAGACACTTACTAGCTGTGTAACCCTGGGCAAGTCACTTAACCCTGTTTGCCTCAGTTTCCTCATCCATCAAATGAGCTGGAGGAATGGCAAGCCAAGAACCATAGAGTGTTAGAGCAAGAAAGAACTTTTGATATTGTTTAGTCCAATTTGCCTGAAGCCACCCACTAAGGACCTTTAGTATCAAAGGGTTGCAGTAGCATAGAATTCTAGAGTTCAAGCTGGGAGGGACCCAAGGGGCCTCCTAGTCTAACTCCCTTGGGGCTTCCTTACAGATGAGGAAAATAGAGACCCGGATTTAGAATCAGGAAGATTTAAGTCAAATCCAGCCTTAGATACTCATCAACTGTGTGACCCTGGGTAAATCACCTTTTCTCAGCCTTGGTTTCCTCATCTGTAAAATGGGGATAATAATAGCACCCACTTCACATGGTTGTTGTAAGGACCAAAAGAGCCTATGTAAAGCACTTTGCAAACCTTAATGTATTATTAGCTTAATAATGATAATGATAAGAATAATGGCTTTATATTTCGCTTTAAAGATTGCAAAGCTTTTTGCAAATATTATCTCATTTGATCCAAACAGCAACCCTGGGAAGTGGGTGTTATTTTTTTATCTCCATTTTACAGATGAGGAAACTGAGGTTGAGAGAGGGTAAGCCAAGGTCATACAGCTAGTAAGTGTCTGAGGCAGGATTCAAACCCAGGTCTTCCAGATTCCAAGTCCAACACTCACTCGCTCCATTGTACTATCGAGCCAAGGTCCCGGCAATGATACACATCAGAGGAAGGTTTTGAATCCAGACTCCAATGACTTTGGAGGACTTCCTTTTCCTGCCTTGCATTCCAAGGGATTTATGAAGAGAAACAGGACCCTGGAGTGTTAGGGCTGGAAGGGACCTCAGGTTCTTCTAATCAAACCCTTTTGTTTGATAAAGGGGGAAACTGGGGTCAGGAGATGGAAAGTGGCTTGACTGAGTCCCCTTTTCTGCTTCTTCTCCTCGCCCGTGTCAGGAGTGACTGTGCAGATTAGATCTCTGGACTTCTTCAGAGGCTGGCACCGCCCTTCCCAGGACCTTGTTGGGTTCAGGTTCTCGGCCCCAGGGTCACGGGATTAGTAAAACCAGAGCTGGGATTTAAATGACGGCAATCCTTTTCCAATTACACTACAGAAAAAAAAAAAAAGATCTCCTTAACAGCAGCAGAGGTCTTCAGATTCTAAGGCCAGTGTTTTTTCCACTCTTGAGCACCTTGTATCAGAAATTAGATCTTCCCTGAAGCCTTTGTCCTCTTCCCATCTGGATGCTGCCACTGAAACCTCTCTCCTTCCAAATGCTCCTGCCTGCAAATACCCCCCGATACTTGCTCAACTGCATTCTGTGAAAGGAGTCCCCAACACTGGGCCGCCCAGCCCCATGGCCCCTAGCTCCTTCCTGCCCACCCTGTCCAGGGGGCCACCCCCAGGACCTTCTCCAGGCTCGGCCCCTCCTCTCATCCTGGATACAACTTCCTGCAATTGTTTGGGAGCTCAGAAAATGGAGTCATCGAAACAGAGGAAAAGCCAGAATCTCCTAGGACGGAGGGTAATGACTTGGACATTGCCCTGTTCCAACTTGATTTCCCATCAGCCCAAGCCAGCAGGGCTTACTCACCATCCCCTTCCCCCACCCCATGACCACTTTGGTCATGCTGTTTCCACCCTCCCGTCTTTCCATCTAGTTGCCACCTCTTTGAATCCTAGAAGCCTTAAGAAATGGGTGTTCATGTAGTGTAATAATATCAAACTCCAATAGAGAGGGGACCCACTAACCCATTCATTTTGTTAAGTATTTCCCAGTTACAATTTTAATCTGGTTTGGCCTGCTCATTGTTTGACACCTGTGAAGAAGAGTGTTGCAGAATGGCAGAATTGGGAGGGGTCTTAGAGGTTATCTAATCCAACCCACTCGTTTGTATAGATGAAGAAACTGAGGCCCAAAAGTGAAGTAACTTGCCCAAGGTCACATAGCAAGTTAGTGACAGAGCCAGGGTTCAAACCCAGATCTTGGTACTTTTTATTTTCTCTTTTAGTTTATTGATATATTTTGTTTAAACACAATAGACACTTTCCAACAATTGCCCAAGCTCCATTACAGAGGGCTTCTTCCATATTTCATTGGATGCTTATGGATATTTCCTTCAGAGATGCAGATGAAAACCTATCCATGTCTTTTCATCTTGTATAACTCTTGGCTTGAGGCAGCATGGAGTAGTGGATAGAAAACTGGATTTGGAGTTAGGACCTGAGTTCAAATCCTGCCATGCACACTTACTAGCTTGGACAAGTCCCTTAACTTTGTAAGCCTCTGTTTCCTCATCTATAAAATTAGGAGGGTTAGAATTAATGACTCCTAAGATTTCCTTTCAGGCCTAAGTCTTATGATTCGTATCCTAAAGCCCTCCTCCATCTCTCTTTAGAGTATGTAAATGCCAGCGGATACAAGAGCTGTCCACCCATTGATTCTCCCTCACAGTCACTCACTTCATGACCAGCCCACTTCCTTTTCTAGTCATCCATCTCTCTGATGTCATCTTTCATGTCCCTTCTGTGTCAGCATATTGTCCCCTATTAACACCCACCATCCACTTTTCTGTAATCTTCAGAGAATCTGGTATCCTCTGAATCACAGCCATGCAGCATGAACTGAAGAATGGTGTTTAAAAAATCTTGATTTGGTCATTTGTTTCAGGAAGAAGCTTGAGGTCATTAAAAAATACACACAATTTCCCAACCTTGAGGGGAAGTGACCATTCCACTTCAGAATTTGTGATGGAGAAGGAAAGGAAATATGGGCAGAGTTTATCTGACAAGTCTCCTGGTTTTAAGGAAAGTAGATTTCAAAGGGTTCAGAGGAAAAATATACAGGATCCCATGGAATAAAATGCTTCAGGGAAAGTGGAAAGAGAGAGATGCTCAAGATGAAATTCTGAAGATACAAGAGAAAAAATTCTAATGAGAAAGAAAATGGGATTGGTCCGAAGAGACTCATGTGGATCCCCTGGGAGCTCACCAACCAACTTAGGTTCAGAAATGAAAATGAAATCAAAGTCAGATAAGAGAAGATGAATATAAGTGTGTCATGGTCCTTTAAAAATGCCAGGAATTTTAGCTTAGAATGATCTGAGGCCAGTGGCGAGGGAAGCTAAGGACAACATTAAAACCTCACCTGTGTGACTTTGGGGGGAAAAAAGGATCAAAGAAGGATCTTGGCTTGGGATGGATAGGACAGCGGATAACTGACAACAACAGAGAACGCATATCTGTTCAATTTCCCCCCTCCATTTTCTCTGCAAAAAAAAACCAAACAAACTGTTCTTTACACTGGAAATGAAAGCTCAAAAAAGACTGACATTCCCATTGAAGTCTTACTTCTGTAAGGGCTAGGAGCCCTTTATCTTCCCTAACAACTCGGAGTGTGGAGAGAGGCATTCTTCAAGTCCCTTGACCTCTTCTACGAATGACTTCATTGCTTAGGATGCCTGGTCATCCTGCATTGCATCGCTCATGATAAGCATTTGCAGAAGAGTCCATTATGAAAAGAATTGCATCTTATGCACCAACATCTTTTGCAGAAAGAGAGAAATTCAATGAAGAACTTGATAAGAACATCCAAAGTAAATCAACATATACTTTAATACTCAGTGAATTCAGTATAAAGGTGGGTGCAGAAGGAGGTAGGAAAAAAATCCTACATACCATGAACACTTTGAGAAGAGAGGCAGGAGGTACAGAACGTGGTATGAAATTTCATGACGGTAAATTAAATTATATTTTAATAGAAGGGAAATGATTAGTTACTGATGTAGGAGTTATTTTCAAATCAATATACTGTGGTGAGTAGACCTATAACTCGTTGGAATAAGCATTAAAATGAATAATAAAAAAAAACTAACTAAAAGATATCACACCCAATTGAGTCAGCTGTAGCTGACCTATTTTTCAAATTTATTATTTATTTATTTTTAATATTCAAAAATTTTTTTGAGTTCCAAATTCTCACCCTCCTCCCAACCCTTCCCTCACCCACTGAGAAGGCTAGCAATCAATATCAATATTATACCTGTGAAGTCATATAAAATATTTGCATATTAGCCATGTCACCAAAAAAAAACAAACAAGAAAAATAAAGAAAGTGAGAAAATTATACTTCAATTTGCACTCAGAGTTCATCAGTTCTCTCTCAGGAGGTGGATAGCATTTTTCATCATGAGTCCTTTGGAATTGTCATGGATCATTATATTGATCAGAGTTGGCTGACCTATTTTTAAACGAACTGCTGATGCTGAAAAATAGGAAATGGATAAAGGAAAAGACATTAGCACAGATTGTCTGGAAATGTAAAGAGCCTAGAAATCACCTCACCCAGCAAATACTTGATTGATTTCTTTATCAAGGAGAGAGGAGGAGAGGGAGGAAGAGAGAGGAAGGAGAGAGAGAGAGAGGGAGAGAGAGAGAGAGAGAGAGAGAGAGAGAGAGAGAGAGCGCTTGCTTTTAAGAATGAAATTGGAAGGTCAGTAGACAGTTGAAAAATGGAGATGTGGAAAGATTTCTATCACATAAGCTTTTCTCTATCAGTAACCATAGAGCCACTATATTTGGATGTTAATGTTATGGTCTCCAATGTATTACATAGAAAATAGTTTATTAATTAACAGAAAGCCTTGTCCTTTAGTAGAGGCAGATAGATGGCACAGTGGCTAGGCTTGGAGGCAGGAAGACCTGAGTTCAGATCCAACCTGGGATACTACTAGCTGTGTGACCTTGGGCAAGACGGTTATCTCTGCCTGTCTCAGTTTCCTCACCTGTAAAAGAGGGATGATAATAATAGCACAGACAATGTTGTTATAGCTGTCCTTGCACATGTGAGTCTTTTCTTGGTGTCAATATCCTTTTTGTCACATAATCCCGGAAGTGTGAAAGTATGATCTCTGAGTTAGCTGGCTCCCTTTCCCTTATGTCATCCTTTTTCCTGCTCCAGGTGAGGTATTTTATTATCTTTATCTTTACCTTGATCTGAAGGTCAATGTGTCTGTTAGGGGATAGGGACATGAGTACAACTGTTCCCTTAAAGGCAGCAGGGCAGCGAGGGTTGGGGGTAGGGCACTATAGTGCACACACCTGAGTCCAAATTTGGCCTCCAATACTTACTGGCTGTGTGACCTTGGGCAAGTCACCTAACCTTTGTTCGCCTTAGTTTTCTCAACTGTAAAATGGGGATAATAACAGGATCTACCTTGAAGAGACGTTGTGAGGATCAGATGAAATAATATTTGTAAAAAGAGCTTAGCACAGTACCAGGCACATGCTAGGTGCTTTATAAATGCTTATTCCTTTTCCCTTCCCACCTTATTGATCAAGTAGGTCCAGAAAGATGATGGCAGTGTGGTGACAACTTTTGCCCCATTCCACCAAGGCTGCCCAGATAGCGGCCCAATCCATCTCCCGAAAGGTGAGGGAGGCTCACCACTCTGCCTCACTGCCCCAACCTCCTGGAAAAAATGGAGAGAGGTGATAGGGAGGGAGCCAAGGAGGAACTCAAAGCTTTGGAATCAGTGAAGATCAAATGACCACCTGGTCCTCCTTTGGAAAGTATACAAAACTAAGAGGAGAAGCTGTAATAGTGATGGGAAAGGGGGCTGGCAGCATGAGGGTGACGGAGGGGAAGGAGAATTTGGAGCTGGAAATGCCCTGGGGGAATCATCTTTCAGGCCTTCTGTTTTATAGATAAGGAAATTGAGATCCAGAAAAGGAAATAATTCTGCCTAACATCTCACAGCTAGTAAGTGTCAAAGCCAGGATTTGAATTGTGTCCTTTGACTCAAATCAGCATTAAAAATTTTTTTCTTTTCATTATGAACTAATGCTCGTCAACAATATACAAAAAAACAAGAACAAGGATTGTATGAGAAACTGAACTTCTGCCATATAGAGTTTTTAAAGCATTTGTCAAGTTTAACAAGATGGTGACAAAGTCACTATTGTTTGTATCCCCTTACGTACTTATGTATATTCTTCAAAAGTGTTTTATTGACATTCTTTTTTTTGCATTTTTAATATTATTTACTCACCTCCAATTTCCCCATTGAAAGTTTTCTCTTGAAGGAGGATATGTATGGTCAAACAAGAGAAATGCACACATTGGCCACATCTAAAAGTGCAAGTCTCATTTTCTACCTCTAATCTATCACCTTCTGGCCAAGAGATAAGAGGTATGTTTCATCCCCAGTCACTGCTTTGATCACTTCTAAAGTCTTTCAGAGCTGTGTAAATGGGTTCAGAAAATGCTCAGCTGTGAAAGTGGGAGAGGGGAAATCCCTCTCCACCCAGAAGAAACACTCTGGTGTCACTTTCCCCGTTGGGCCTGGCTGCCGTAAGGCTGTCCCAAGGGGCATGGCATCCCATTCTTTCCCCACCTCTTCCATCCCCCTGTCCTCCTAGTCTGACTGCATTTATCCACTGACCTGTGTGGGCCTGAAGGGTTTCCTCCTCTCCCAGGATACTGGAGCTGTTGTCAGTGAGGGGATGCATGGGACATTGGGCAGAACAGCCCATGTGGTAATAATTTTCGCCGATGCAAGCTGGCTGGCTCTCCTCAGCTCAGTGGCATATTGCAAAGGTAACCCCTGAAGGGCAATATTTCTGAAGAGGAAATGCCATTCTGGGAAGCAAATAGGGTGGGGGGGAAGGGGGAGATGAGGGGAATGTTTAAGTGGAAAAGGAACAAATTCTTGGAATGCCTTTGTAAGTGTTTTCCCAATTTCTCACACACACAGAAAGAAGGAGAGAAACACGGAGGCACATAGAGACACATATCAGTGCACTGATGCCCCCAAACAGCTCCCTTTTTCTGGGGATGCTGTGGGTTTTGGTGGCTATTATCAAAGAGATAGTAAGTGTCCTCTCCCCTTCCCCTGGATTTGTAACAAACAAATGCAGTAGCAGCCTCAGCCTACACATACCTACCCACCCCCTTGTTTGGGCTGAGGAAGGGGCTCTGAGGAGCCCAGGTTAAGAACCCACACTGTCACAGCCCCCCCCCCAGAGTCCGTGTAAGGATGTCTGTAAAGGACTTTGCAGACCTTCAACTACTAGATAAATTTCAGTTATTATAGTTATGTAGGTATCATTATTTCACAAGAGTTACCAAATTTATAGTAGCTTTTTTAATCATACTGTATTTATTTTTAATTTTCTTTTTTATCATGTATATCTGAATGAGTGAGTATACATAGTACATAGTGGGGGGGGGATAGTGGTAAATAAGACATAATCTTGCTTTGAAAGGGGAATCTCTTACTTGAAAAAGCTAAGAACCACTCTGGATGTCTGCATCACCTCTGATACAACCAGGAAAAGAATGAGAGACCTCAATTCTTACCCTTTTTTGTGTGTCTTGGATCTCATTGGTGCTCTGGGGAAGAGGATCCATAAGGACCCCCTCTCAGTATAATGTTTTTAAATGAATAAAATAAAGTACAAAAAATTATGAAGGAAACCAATCATATTGGGAAAAATTATCAAAAATTTTTTTAAAAAACAAATTCACAGATGCCAGGTTTAAGTGCCTTAGGTGGTTACGATTCCCTCTGCTAAAATGTAAGCTCTTTGAGGGGAGGGGCTGTGTATGTAGCAGGAATTCAAGGTTGAATGGAATTCTTCCTTCCTTCTCTTCTGTCACCGCTGAGACTGGGTCAGTCATCTCAAGTCAGGCAGGAGTATCAGAAAAGGGAGATAGCTGGTGGGGGTGTTCTGGGAAGATGGCAGGGTAGGTCAGACATTTCCAGGCTCTCCAGATTTCCCTCCATGAACAGACAGAAAATTGCTATGGAGTGAATGTAGAGCACCAAAAATAAAGGGGTGTAGCCTGTATGCCCCCATTCTCTTTCTGCTCAGACTGAGAGAAGCTTCCGGAAAGAGATCCTGCCCCATCCCATGCCATCCCAACCCCCCCTCCCCCCTTGCCACACATGGTGTCCTTCTTAGTAAGCTTGTGCTCTGGGGGCTGGTGAGAGGAAGTAATAGGGCAAAGAACTGGGGCAGTGTCAATTATTTTGAAATCTGATTTCTTCTAAATGAGGTTATGTCCCAGGACAGGATATTTGCTCCATTAAAAAAAAAAAAACACAAACTAAACCCATCCCTGTGCAGCCTGATTCTTCATTTCCCCAGTTGAATTGAGTGAATCCCTTGCCCCAATTACATTTGGACTGCTGAAAGTCTAGAGGTGATGTTTCTCCGAATACACCTCTATCAAGATTGCCCGTGGGCAGAGTTTGTATGTGTTGTCCAGGGATGTTCCACTTTGCCCCTAAGCCTCCTTACCTACCCCCTAGCCTCCTTACCTGCCCCCCAGCCTCACCTCGATATTCCCTTTTTACTAAAAAAAAAAATATATGAGGGCTGCTGTTGAGGAGGGAGGGTAAGGCATGGGGAAAGCAGTCTGGATCCGAGGGAAGGAGGCTTGGATTCTAGTTCTGCCCAGGTTTCACTGTGTAATTTGTTTAGGTAATACAGGACATGGAGTCTAATTCCTTACGGTATAGCCAGGGGAACAGGTCCAGAGATATTAAGTGTTTAGCTCATGATTGTACAGCTAGTTATAGTTTGGGGATTAGAATCCAAATATCCTGATGCCCATCTAGTGTCCTTTCTAATATGTCATCCCATCTCCCCATCCTTAGCCTTTCAGGGCCTCAGTTTCCTCACAGGCAAAATGGTAATCACCTTCTTCCCCCATGTCTGCTTTATGGGGTAGGATCAAATGAAAAAACCTATAATTGTGCTTTGGAAAGGACTTGCAGCCAGAGGTCCTCTGTTCACCTCCCCAGGCCACCACATATTTAGTTGTGTGATTCTGGGCAAATTGTTTTACTTCCCTGGTCCTTACTGTCCTCATCTGTAAAAATGAGGAAATTGGATTGATGATCTCAGGGACCCCTTTCTCCTCCAAATCTGTCATCCTACACAAGGAGGTGTTGTTGTGGCCCCTGGAGTCAGGACAACTGGGTCCTCTGAGTTCCTGACCACACAACTCTTCATATTTCCATTTCCCCAAGGCCATGTGCTGTTCATTCATTTCATTCGATGAACATTCATTAAGCATCTGTTTTGTTCTAGGGGCCAGGGACACGAAGATAAAAAGAAATCAGCCCCTGCCTTCATGGATCTTATATTCTTTTGGGAGAATAACATGTGTGGATAAGTAAATCCAAGGATACACAAAGGAATGGTGTGGGTGAAAGGATGAATAGCCCCATGGAGGAGTCAGGAAAGACTTCTAGTAGAAAGGGGAAGCCTGTGCTGAGCCTTGAAGGAAGGGGGGGTGTTCTAAGAGCCATAGGTGAGGAGGGCAGTATAGCCCAGATGTGGGAAAGAGCCTGTGTAACGGCATGGATGGAGATGGGTGATGGAGCATTGTGTATAGGGCACAGCGAGTGGATCAACACTCTCAGTACTGTGGCCAGTGGCTCTAGTCAGTCTTTTAATAGTTTTCAAAATCTGAGAGGGAAGGAAGGAAAGAAAGAAGTAAAGAAGGGAGGAAAGAAAGAAGGAAGAAAGGAAAGAAGGAGGGAAGGAAAGAAATATTAAGTGCCTACTATGTGTCAGACATTGTAGAACTCAGACAAATTGAACTGTTCCAAGCCCTCTGGACACCTTAGCTTTGAGGTTGGCACTACATCAGGTAAGAACACTTTGATTCACGGAGATAGAACTTTGACCCAAAACTGGCACTCTGTTTGGAGCATGTCCGGCAGAGTGCAGTCCCCTGGCATCTTTCCTGTCCTGGCGGAGGACTTGTGTTCCTGGGAAGAGGCCAGAGGCAGGGCTGAGCAGAGAAGGAAGCCTGGTCCCCACATGGCACACTGCTTCTCCTCCCAACCCCCCAATATTTATCTTGGAAACCGGAAAGCTTGAGTCAGTTCTGCCCGGCTTCAAACCTGTGGTGCCGAGGAGTCTGGGTATTTCACTCCAGGGACTGAGCTCCTAGGTGGTGACAGTGACGTCAGATCAGATGTCTGCAGTGGGTTTGAGATGCAGGGCTCTCCAAAGCTTCCTGCCCTGGCAGTTTGGAGATGCTTTTGGAGAAACTGATGGGGAAATGACGAGGCCCCTAGAGACACTGGCCACTGAGATGGGGCTGCTTTAGATAGCTCAGCCTGTGGCAGCTTAATGCCCAGGACTCTGCAAAGAGGGGACTAGTTTTAATAAGAGGGATGCTTCACATTTCTCTTATAGTTTCCTTACAACTTTGTAATAGCCCTTTTACAGAGGAGGAAACTGAGGCTTAGGGAGACCAACTGTCTTGCCTAGAGTCCTATAACAGTAGCTAGTATTTAATATGGAAATATGTTTTGCATGATTGCACATGTATAACATATCAAAGTATTGAGTCCTGTCATTTCATGAATGTTTGGAACTCCTACACTCATTAGAATTAGGAATTAGAGAAATTTAGAAAATTATTCTTGTTTCTTATTTTATTTTTCGTATTTGTATCTCCAGAGCTTAGCACAGTGCCACATAGTAGGCACTTAATAAATGTTTATCTTATTATATCATTATCCCTATTTTACAGATGAGGAAACTGAGGCAGGCAGGGTCACATAGTTCATAAGTGTCTCAGGCTGGATTTGAATTCAACTGATTGCAGGAGGGGCAGCTAGGTGGTACAGCGGATAAAGTACAGGGTCTGTAGTTGGGAGGGCCTGAGTTCAAATCCAGCATCAGAACTTACTAGCTGTGTAACCCTGCACAAGTCACTTCACTCAGTTTTCTTATCTGTAAAATGAGAAGGAAATGGCAAACCACTCCAAGAAAACCCTAAATAAGGTCACAAAGATTCAGACATGACTGAAAATGAGTGAAGAGGTAGGCCAATAGAGCGAGAATGTAGAATACAAGGAGGGGAATAAAAAGTAAACAAACTGGAAAGACAGGTAGGATTGTGAAGGGCTTTAAGTGCTAAACAGATTTTATATTTAATATTGGAGGCAGTAAGGAGCCATTGGAATTATGGAGTAGGAGATATACACTTTAGTAAGCTGAGTGGAGGATGGACTGGAGTGGGGAGAGACTGGAGGCGGGGAGGTTCCTCAGCAACTCTTGCAGTAACCCAGGTGTGAGATGATGAGGGCCCGCACCAGTAGGTGGCTTTGTCAGTGAAGAGAAGGTGCCTTAAGAGAGAAAGTAGAAATGCTAAAACTTGATGACAGATTTGATGTGTGGGGTGAGAACTCCAGGTGAGAAGCTGAGGCTGTGACATGGAGATGGTCATTGGGAGGATAGTGGTGATCTTGACGTCTCAGGAAGGTTGGAAGGTGGGGAAGAAGGTGATAGAGATTCCTAGATGGGCAGGGTGGGATGAGCTCCCCAAAGTAGACCAGGCAGGTCCTCAGTGTCCCACATTCCAAGGGTTCACACTGCTCTCTCCCCCTCCCCACATCTGGTCCCTAGTGGCTCTCTGATTTTCAGGCTGTCCCTTGAAGAGCCTTCCCACTCTATCCTTGCTGTCTATGAACCTGCCCATCTCACCCCAGCCTTAAAAAAAACCTTCCCTCTTCTCAAGCTAACATCCCATGTCTCTCCTCCATTTCACAGC